GTATACTTTTATGATATTGTTTATAAGGAGCTACAGATTTATATATGATATGACCATACAGCCATCCTTGTGTTTGTCCCTTAATAACATTAAAAGGAACTAACAGATTTTCACAAAATTTTGTAAGAACTTCGTACCATTGGATGCAAATACACTTTTAAAATTTGATTTTCTTATCGTGAGCTGTGGTCACTTAAAAATGAAAGCCATATTATTGCCACCATTGCCTACTCATATAGGGTTGTTGAAATTTGGTATAGCAATGGATCTTTGTAAAGATGGCAGTATCCTAATGGAGCATTATACCTGAGTGATGACACAGGTCTTTCATATTACATGGGATGGTTTAATTCTGTTGGAATCTCTATGTGTAGAAACTGTACAGTGAATAAGTTGTGTTGTTAATTTATTGGTAGACATGTGTAAGGAGTGGAGAGCTTGAAAGAGTAGGTGTAATAAGCTCCACCAGGGTTTATTGTTTTGAATTAGTTAGTTAGTTAGTTATTGGAGAGGGTGGGTTTCCCCATGCACTGAGACCAGTATTGGTCCATTGTGCTTCCCTCTATGATATTCTACCAGTCTCTATACCCTACCGGTACTGGTGCTTACCATCAGTCCCGACCGAGCCAGCGAGTTTGCCTCTACTGGCTCACCGGTATCTCGATGCTTCCCCCCTCTACCAGAGGGGTTAGAAACTACTGTTGGGCAGGAAATGTCCTGAATTTGGCTCAGTGGTCCCTTTGGGACATGAAGTTCTTTTACGTGCCGTAAAGCTATGACACGGGACCCACGGCTTAAAGTCCCTCCCGGAGGACTTGTTCCCTGAATTTTTCCGCCCTTAAAAATTCCACGACCTCCGCCAGGTTTGAACCCGCGTACCTTGAATGACGAGGTGGGAACGTTACCCGTAGACTACGGAGGCCACTATTGTTTTACAGGTGTACATAGATCTGTATTGAATTCCACCTTTAGTGGCTGATTCTAAACTGAAGATAATTTCTGTGTTTATTTCATATTTTCATATACAGTCTGTCATTTGCCAAATATGATTATACTCCTCTCTGATGAAACTGCATTCCACAGACTTAAGAACTTAGGTGGGAGTGTTTAGGAACTCAGAGATAATTTAAAGGTATTTGCATGACAAAATCAGTCTAGTATATATATAGTATATGTAGTTAACATAAAAATACATTAAAACAGATGTGGGTACCAGGAATCTTCTTTTGGGGGGGGGTGAAGGGTGCCCAGCGTGTAAGGCTGGCACCCTCAGTGCCTTCTGTGAGCCGATTGTCTAGACAAAATATGGGAACCTCGATGTCTCACAACTCTATGGACTTCCATGGCCTGTTACAAGGATAGTTTTACCTTTTTTTTTTATGGAAAGTTAAACTGATTGTTCTAGCAGTGGAACTTATGAAGAGATTGAACTTATTGGAGAAGCAGATACAGGCTTAAGAAAAGATGCTTGTTGGTAGAATTCGGCTTCGGGCTGTGCAAGAAGATAATCTGGTGCAAACACTACATACACAATAACACTTACAGGTGATAATGCAGTATAATTAAACCACCATATGCAATATAAAATTATGTATTTAAGTTAAATTCAACTTTTATTGTAAAATAATTAAAAGGTTACATATTTTGACAATTTAGATTTGCCATCAGCAGACCTTTATATTTTATGCATGGAGAGGAAACTTCATAGGTGAGGTTTTTTGCAAATGTATGATACATGCATATAAAAGACAGCAATAAATATGATATATGGTTGGGGGTCGAATACCTCCACCGTGACCCTGCAAGTCATAAGAGGCGACGAAAAGGGAAGTCTCAAATCTGAGACAGTAAAATATGGTCTCAAGTTCCAAGGGACTCAGACCCTAGAAAGACTGCACTGGCAAGGGCCAGCAGCACATACAAAAGGCAGACCCATCGTCTCGTCAGAGAGGGCGCCCCACAAAAACAAGACCGTAGCTGTTAAAGGTAATAAATATCTGGTCATGAGCCTCAGATGGATCTCAACACCAAGACTTACTGATTGACTGACCATCAGTCGCAATGTGACTTGGACTTGGACTTGGACTTGGATATGTGTTTAATTCCTAATAGTATAGATATTCAGACAGGTGCAGGGATTTTTATTGGAAAGACCCCCTCTGAGAAGTTTGAGAGATGAGAGCATAAGTTGTATTGTATTCTGTTGTACGGAGGATAAAATTGTGTCGTTGTGTTGTCTTGTAGTGTTGATGTCTCTGTGGTGGTGCTTGGCCAGGCTAGAGGTAAAAGATATAGTCGACATATGAGGACTTTACTAAATTGTCCCAAATGTAATACACATTGGGGACAAAGGAATGCATACGGGGTTTTGGTGAGAAAGCCAGAAAGAAAGAGACCGCTAGGAAGACGTAGATGTTTATATGAGGATAATATTAAAATGGATCTTAGAGAAATAGTGGGGTGGTATGGACTATGTTGTTCTGGCTCAGGATGGAAACCAGTGTCTGGCTCATGTGAACACTGAAATGAACCTTTGGCTTCCGTAAAATTCTGAGAAAGAAGAACAACTCAAAATCTATGGCATTAGTTACGGTAAACAACCAAAACTTATACTCTCATCTCCGAAATGCCTCCTGGGAGTTTTTTAATAAAAATCCCCATACCAAATATGTGTATTTTTAACAACTGCTCATTAATCATATTCAATACCACCTTTTATTTGTATGTGCCATGTTTACAAAAAACAAACTTTTAAAGCTACCCACATTTCAGATATAAAGGTCTGATAATGGTGAATCAAAATTGCCGAAATGTGTAACCTTTTAATTATTTTGCAATAGAAGTTGTATTTGACTGAATTGTGTGCCTTTATATATATATATATATATACATACAGTAAAACTTGGTTATAGCAACATCGGTTTCAGCGACACCTTGTCTATTGCATCAAATATTCAATGGTACGAACTACTTCCTCATAAAGCAACTGTTTTTATACCTTGCTTACTACGACATGTACAAA